TATTGATCGGTGTCCAGTGATGGAGGTGGGGACACTGATCCGGGTCCCAGATGCCCCGCAGGCTGCCCCCGATCAAGCTGGCATGTACAAATACCTGTGAGTATTAAGGGGGGTACTTATTGGGCTCTGGTGGATTCATGATGTAACCAAACCTCGATCCATCAAAGCCTAATTCAGCCGGAGGCATTGGATAAGAGCTGCGTGGTTCGGGTGCGGTGCGTCCACGGGGATGTGGTGAGGTATCCTTTAATGCTCCTAGCTATCCAATTTCGGGGTCAGAAGCATAAAGTGGAGGTTGCAGTTAACCCGAACCTCAGGCATCCGCTAACTTTGGGGACCAATTGGCCAGCTTTTAGTCATTTATTGGGGTATTTGTGAGCGGATGTCTCTTGGGGAAAAGAGAAGCGGGGAGGGGAGGCGGCCGTGCAGACGGGAGATGCGGAACCGCGACTGACTGATTTTGCACCAGAGGCAGGCAGCAACTTTGAACCGGTTAATGGCCCGATTCTTTTGGCCGGGCATTCACGAGAATGTCAGTTAGTGAATCCCCCGGCCTCCACAAAAGCGCCGTTGCGCCCTCTTCCTCTCATGCAGGTCCCCTTCGACAGAATTGGTATGGACATCATCGGGCCATTAGAACGGTCAGCACGGGGGAATCGCTTTGCATTAGTCCTCGTGGATTATGCAACGCGATACCCTGAGGCAGTGGTGCTCCGCAACATTTCCGCAAAAAGTGTGGCGGAGGCTCTGTTTCGTATAATCTCCCGAGTGGGGATCCCGAAAGAGATTCTCACTGACCAGGGCATGGCGTTTATGTCACGTTCAATACGCGAACTGTACGAATTATTGGGCATTAAATCAGTCCGCACCAGCGTCTATCACCCACAAACAGACGGACTTGTGGAACGATTTAATCGCACTTTGAAAACCATGATTCGAAAGTTCGTTCACAAAGACGCCAAAAATTGGGATAAATGGCTGGAACCCCCTTTGTTCGCTGTGCGCGAGGTCCCGCAAGCCTCCACCGGGTTTTCCCCCTTTGAGCTCCTTTACGGTCACCAGCCCCGTGGGGTTTTGGACGTCCTGAGAGAGGCTTGGGAGGAGGGAACTTCGGATAGCAAAAACAAAATTCAGCATGTGCTGGACCTGAGAACAAAACTCCACACTTTGGGGCAGCTCTCTATAGAGAATTTGTTACAGGCCCAGGACAAGCAGAACCGGCTGTATAATCGGGGAACCAGATTACGTGATTTTTACACGGGGAGATAAAGTGCTTGTATTGCTCCCAACTTCTAGCTCTAAATTACTCGCCAAGTGGCAAGGACCCTTTGAGGTCACACAGCGGGTGGGAGATCTCAATTATGAGGTAATTCGGTCGGACAGGAGTAAGGCACGTCAAATCTACCATCTTAATCTCCTTAAAAAATGGACCGAGGTGGAACCGGTGATGCTGGCGACGGCAGTGAGTGGAGAGGAAGATCTCGGGCCAGAGGTGAACACTAAAATCCAATCTCTCGCTCTGGCCCCAGGGGGAGATCACCTCTCGCCCTCCCAGCTCACTGATGTAGCAAAATTGCAAGCCGAGTTTGCGGACGTGTTCTCGCCCCTGCCCAGTCGAACGAATCTCATCCAGCACCATATTGAGACGGAGCCGGGTGTGGTTGTACGCAGCCGGCCGTATCGGCTGCCTGAACACAAAAAGAAAGTGGTTCAGTCTGAATTAGAGGCGATGTTAGAGATGGGAGTAGTGGAAGAATCCCACAGTGATTGGGCGAGCCCAATAGTTTTAGTACCTAAAATGGACGGCTCCGTTCAGTTCTGTGTGGATTATCACAAGGCGAATGCGGTGTCGAAATTCGACGCATATCCAATGCGAATTGCTTGATCGGCTGGGTACAGCTCGTTTTTAGTCGACACTGGACTTAACCAAAGGCTATTGGCAGATCCCCTTATCGCCCTTATCCAAAGAAAAGACAGCCTTCACGACGCTGTTTGGATTACACCAATTTGTTACCCTTCCTTTCGGGTTGTTCGGGGCACCGGCCACTTTTCAGTGGCTCATAGACAGAATCATCCGGCCGCATGCTGTGCTGTACATCAGTCGAAAGCTCTCTAAGAGAGAGACGATGTACAGCACCATTGAAAAGGAGTGCTTGGCGGTCCGGTGGGCTGTTCTCACCCTCCGCTATTATCTCCTGGGATGGGAATTCACTCTCTTTTCGGACCATGCACCCCTGCAGTGGCTCCACCGCATGAAGGATACCAACGCGCAAATCACCCGTTGGTATCTGGCATTACAACCCTTTAAATTCAAGGTGGTCCACAGGCCGGGTGCACAGATGGCTGTAGCCGACTTTCTCTCCAGAAAAAGGGTGCAGGCCGGAGGGGGTATGTGGCGAGGTGGGCATGGTTCAGCGAAGTCTGCAGTGGGAGAGAGGGGCGGGAGTCGAGCGGTGAGTAAGTAGGTCAAGTGCAAAATGATGAATGCCTGTGTCTGATTGCAGTAATTGGCCTGGAGAGACCGGTTAAAAGGCCGACTGGAGAACGTGGAGGAGAGAGAGATGGAGACTCATGGGCATCACTCGGCCAGGGAGAAAAAACCTGAGGAACTGAATTTGTGCTATTGGCAGTGTGTGAATGCGCTGGAAGCGCTACTTTTGTTTTGTTAGAGTTTTGAGTTATTAAATAAACATCCACGAGTCTCCAAACACAAACATTGTTCACTTCCTTCCTTCCTTACTACGAACCTTGTTACAACGAACAACAAATTCTCAAACTGCATCACAATTAACACTTTACATTCGCCATGCATTGTAATAATGCAACCACTGTACTATAGATATAATTTTCTCTTTTTGTCTCTTTGTATTTACCTGTAAAACAGGATAATGTAAGAAGAACGGGAGAGTCGCGTCTGCACTTTCACAGCTCCTCTGATGATCTGAGGAAACATGTGCAGTTCGTCGTCCTGGTCGCGACTCTCCAGTCAGAATATCAAAATAAGAGTCCTTTTTTTCCCTCTCCATGTAAATCAATGTACATGTTTTAGTTCGCACATAAACACTGCATAAGGAAATAATGTGATCATTGAACTTACAACAATGTAAATAAAACATAACACAGTTTTGTACATATTTTGTGTGTATCACACAAAGCCCAAATCAGAGCAAGCACTTCCTATTCAATCACAGAATAATTAAGTTGGTAAGAATTAAACTTTCTAGAAAAGAATCCAACTGGATGATCAATGCCATCTTCAGAAGCCTGTAACAAAATGGCACCAGCACCCACATTGCTGGCATCCACTTCCAACCGAAACGCTTGGTCAAATTTTGTAGCTTTCAAAACAGGACCCTCTGTAAGGAGCATTTTTACTTTTTCAAATGCTTGCTGACAACCCGAAGTCCAGCAAAAATCTATTCCTCACCACAATTAATTTGTCAGGGGGGCCACCACTGTAGAAAAATATCTACAAAAACAACGATAAAATCCTACCATCCCAAGAAATTGCATAAGTTCTTTCTTGGTGCTAGGCGTGGGGTAGTTATCTATCGCTTCCACTTTTGCACAGACAGGGAGCACTTGGCCTTGTCCAACCACTTTCCCCAGATAAACTACTGTGGCCTGGGCGAACTCAAATTTTAACAAATTAAAAGTCAAATTTGCCTTCACAAATCAATCAAATAGTGCTCTAATTTGAACTATATGTTCATCCCAAGTTTGACTACACGACGACGTCATCTAAATACACAGCACATCCCCTCAATCCAGAAATAACTTGATTCATTAAACGCTGGAAAGTTGCAGGAGCATTTCGCAACCCGAAACTCATAACCTTGTATGAAAATAATTTTTCGTAAATAATCTGTTTTTTTTGTGTCAATAATGCAAAATGACAATAGTAAATACTCAGTTTTCAGTTAAAGGCAGTTCATCATTGAATTCAGTGATGTCATCATCCAGCTCAGTTCAGTTTAAATAGTATCTGTGCAATCAAGTCGACGATATCGCTGGAAATTAAGTGTCCCCAACTAAGCAAGCCAGAGGCAACAGCAGCAAGGAACCAAAACTCCATCAGTGACAGAATGGAGAAAAAACCTTGGGAGAAACCAGGCTCAGTCGGGGGGCCAGTTCTCCTCTGGCCAGACGAAACCAGCAGTTCAGTTCCAGGCTGCAGCAAAGACACATTGTGCAGAGGACTCAACTGAAGGAACTAGTGGCAGGTGATGAGACATGGTTGGCAAAAGAGGACAATCTATACTTTTGTCAAGGCATCCTCACTGTCCTCTTCGATATACCTACTGTGTCATTTTTCCTCTTTGGAGTGACTTGCTGTTGGGAGACCTGAGTAGATATGAATCTCATGAACAGTACTTGGTGACAACAAAGAAATTACCAAAAACAAGAGATACCAACTGTTACATAGAAAAGTGGTTTGGAATTGTCAAACATTCCATAATGCATAATGAAACAAAAGTCAAACCAGGAATATTCATAAGAAATATGCATGTCTCTACAAGCAAGATATATGGAGAATATAATTCAGCATAACCTTCCTCAAAAGCTATTGCTCCAACCTGAGCCACCTATGAACCTTGATCAGTCTCAAGAAACTTGTGTAACCCCTCTTAAATGATTGCTGTGATGAATATTATTATATACATCATTGTTTGAATTCAATATAATGACCATTCATATGAATGAAAATCTACATAGATTGATAAAAAATATTTATATTTCGCAGTTATTGCATGTGTAACCCCTCTTAAATGATTGCTGTGATGAATATTATTATATACATCATTGTTTGAATTTAATATAATGACCATTTATATGAATGAAAATCTACATAGATTGATAAAAAATATTTATATTTGTGTTTTTGGATTGAACTAAGAAATGAGAAGCAACCAATCGGAGCGTTAGGATGTTGGCTCCGCCCACTTTCCTGTGGCTAGCGTGTGCAGGCTAGTAGACTGATACAGAGTGACAGAGAAACCTGATCTGACGAGAGAGTGTAAAAATAGAAAAATACGATCTTTAATTAATTCAAGCTTCATATTAACTGATCAAAACAGCCCGTAAACACGAGATATTAGATGATTCAGCGTGTTTGTGTTACTCCTGCACCACAAAACTTGCATGTGGAATTGGTGAGTTCTACAACTGATAAAATCAGTGTTAAAAATGAATGACAACAGATTGTATGTAAGAGTTTTATTTGTTTTATGCATATAAGACTAAACAGTGTTATATTGTGATGTTATATGGGGTGGATTGTTCGTTTGCAGTGTGATTGGGTCAGGCCGCATGTTCTGTGCGTGTCTCTGCGGTTTGCTGACGCCATTTTGATTGCGTGTACCTGTGAAAAAAAACAGACGAGAATGGACAGGTAATTCGTTATTATGACATAAGTTGCATAAATGATATGCATGTATGTATTATTTGGTTCATGTGCTCTGTATTTCATTGAAATTGATTCTTGATGCACAGAATTAAGTGTGTACTGGCCTGTGAATGTACAGGCCAGGTTTTTTTTTCCCCTTGTGAGGATGAACTTTAATGTGGATTTCCATAATTGATGGCGAGCCTCCCACCTTGACTGAAAGGATCACATACTGTGTTTTATTGTTGTTTTATGCTTTGAAAAAAGTACTTACTGAAGAAAAAAAGAAAGAAACAAACCCTAAACCATTTACAGTACAATTTAAATTGTGGTTAACCTACCGATTGCCTCTGATATTTACTCAGTACCACCGCCGCCTCCCATCACGTGCCTTGTTCTTCTGAGGTTAATTGCCTGGTCCATCAGAGAGAGAACTACCCTGTTACAGAAGTGTTACACTTGCATGAAGAAGGAACAACATTTCCCATCCACCAATTCCAAATTATTTTCTGTTCCACAAAAAAATGCATGTTCCCCCCAAAAAAGGATCCACAAGGATGTGACACAGAGCAAGAAAAGTTAAAGTGCAAAGGTACTCCGTGTAGAGGAAGAGGTAATGAAGTCATTATACAAAAATTAAAACTATTTATTGCATATATTAAGGTACACCATTATTTACTGTATGAAGCCACCAAAAGAGCTGGTTGTAGCCATTGAGATGTCTCCTAGCCAGAATCTGGAGTAGCTGTTACATCACAAGGAATTCCAAATACTAAGGCCACATGAATGGTTATTTGGAGAGGATCACATATCAAAACAAAAATCTAAATACATAATTGTGCAATTATATTTGTGTTTATATTTGATAAGTAAATGCTGTCCTCTCTCTATGTAATAATTCAAGTAATTTGATTCCAATTGCAATGCTGTATCATTTTTAGACTATTTAGTGCTATTTAAGAGCTTTACTTAATATGAAGGGTTCAAATCTCTTTCAGCTAAGCCATTGCACCACAGGTGTCATCTTAAATGGCACAAGGGAGCAGATGGCATGGCAAGGATTGCATGTGATTTAAATTCGAATAATCGTGCAGCCCTACTTCCAGGTAAGATAAATATTTTGCAACTTGTTTTGCAGAGGTGTGACGCTCTTTTCAAAAGCTATTGAACTGGATGGTGTGCCACTGAAGAAACTCATAGAATACAGTGATGGTAGAAATTGAGCATATAGAGCAAATAATTGTACATTAAATACTTGAAGTATGTTCTTTAGGGTCAGATAAATATTTTGCAACTTGTTTTGGAGCGGTGTGACCCTCTTTTCAAAACTATTGAATTGGAAGGTGTGTCAATGAAGAGACCCATAGAATACAATGATGGTACTTTTTGAACATTTACACTATATACTTCTATATTAAAGACTTGAAGTATGGTCTTTAGGGTCAGATAAATATTTTGCAACTTCAACCATAGCACTGGGTCCCTCCTTTCAAAAGCTATTGAACTGGATGATGTGTCATTGAAGAAACCCATAAAACACTGTGATGGTACAAATTTAATATATATGTGAGGCACAAATTCTTTATAAACCATCTTGAAGAAAGTTTTGCCACTAGTTTTTGAAGTGTTCACTCAAAATCAACATCCTATTTTGTTTTTAAAAAAAAATCCCTTTTCAAAAACTTCAACGAATGGCTCGTTTGGACTACAGCGTTGTTTTCCGGGGTTTAGTGATGTCACAAAGCGTTCCATTAGAATATCATTAAAATAATTCCTGCCTACGGAAATACGAATGGTGGGGGGTTGGGGTGGGGAGGGGCAAGGTCATGGTTAGAACGCTTGGTTGAATGCATCAGCAGGCCCGGCTTTGCCCCCCCACGGACATCCCTGTGCCCCCCCTTCGGATCGAGGGCGACGGTCAGACTTGAGTTTAGCGTGTATAATAGTCCTGCTGTTGCTTCTGATTGCTTTTAGATGGAAAAGCTGCCCATAACCCCTGGTCTAGGATCTGTTTTCTTCGTAATAATAGCATAATGAAATAGATTTGGCAAACAATCCAGTGTATCTGCCCTTCTGCTTTGGAAAGCGTCAAATGATTTTACAATGCATTTTCGCAGAGGTGAGCAATGTAGCCAATCACAGACATGTTTGTTGAATTCTGTAACGCAATGGGCAATCAGAGTTTTTTAGGTTGGAATCCACGCACTCACAGCTCCAGTCACCACTTTTTGTCCAGTGCCGAGTTCTATCATGCTTGTAACTTCTTTCTAACAAAGACATTTAAAAAAAGTTTCATCGTGTAGTCACATTCATTGTTTTTTGTTTGTTTGTTTTGTTTTTTAACTTTGTGAGATCGTGATGAATGAGTGAAAGGGAGCACTCATTGCATGCTGTATACGATAATATATTCAGAATTTAAATAAAACTTGTGTTTTTCATGCTTGACAAGCGGCCACGTACGACACAGAAATAGCAAAACTACTACACTATGTAGAAAAAGATAATAATTTCAGAAGCACAGATGTGATTCTGCAACCGAGTCTGGTCCAAATGCAGGATTTATGTAAAGAAACGGTTATTATTTGTATTGGCTGCCACGCCAAATCATGCACACGCACGCTTGCTTTTCTGTTTAATTTAACAGTGTTTTTGTGAACATATATATGCTTTAATAATAAATAATTGTTACACTTTACAAAAAGGGTTGATTAGTTCATGTTAGTTAATGTATTAAAGTGTATTAATGTGTTAGTCAATTATTGTAAAGTGTTACCCAAATAATGTATTTCGAGTGTTCACTTGAAAATAATACCCCCCCCCCAAGAAATATAAATGCCCACCCAAGTCATGTGTCCTGGCGCCGGGCCTGTGCATCAGACAAGACGACAACGAAGAAGAAGTGCTGCTGCAGAGTTAGTGCATCAGAGAAAACGAAGAAGAAAAAGAGCTGCTGTAGCATCAAGTAAATATATATGTTACAGTTATGAAAATCTTTTTTATATGCTGACAGTACAATACTGGACAATGATGTAATCTGCAGAATTTACACTTCAATTATGAGACTATGGTATAAATAAATTCAACTGAATAACAGTTTCACTGCAATTCATGTTATAATGTTAGAATTAAAGAACAATAAACATAATACATATTACCATTGCACTTAGCCAAAAAAAAACAAAAAGACAATAACGTTACCACTCTAATATGTCTTGCAATATCCGTGCGTGCAAAGGTTCTGCGCTATCCTCTTGTTCAATATTCTCAGAGTCTGAATCTGGCTCAAACTGATATTGCAATATTGACGCCATCCTTAACTATACCAGAGCAGACTGAACTTGCTGCTTTGGCAAGGGGCGTGGCAGTACTGAAACACTGTCTAAGCTGTTCGCCAATCACAACGCAATGGGACAGCTAACCAATCACAACACATTTTGTTTTTCGGAAGGTGGGCCTTCCAGTGTTGCCAACGTAGCGACTTTGTCGCTAGATTTAGTGACTTTTCATACCCCCCTAGCGACTTTTTTCAAAACAGAAAAGCGACTAGCGACAAATCTAGCGACTTCTTGGACAAACCTTAGCGAGTCTCTTTGACTCACTGGTACTGCCGCACGAGTGTGAGATCTTGCTTTCACAGCGCACACCTCCCTCTCCCTCTCTCTCTCTCTCTCTCTCAGTGGTGCATGGTGTGTGTGTTTGTGTGTTTGTGTGTGTGTGTGTGTGTATGTGATTTGTTGACTTCTGCCTCTTTTTGTGACAGGCATCAATGTGTATTGCTACTAGTAAGATACAATCTTGTTTTTCATCTAACAAATGTTGAAGTTGTGTTTTATTGTCAGGGCAAAGTATTTCAAATTTAGGAAAAAATGTCTTTCTGATGTCTGATAGTTGGGGCAGCTGGTGAGGAAGTGTTGCTCTGTCTGTATGTATGGGCAGATGGGGCTCTCTTTGGGCAGCCAGTGCTGTCGATATCTGCCCGTCTCTATAGTCAGTGTATGATTGCTCAGTCTGGGCCAAATAACATTCAAGTTTACTTTGTTTTTCTGTTCTTTCAGTCCAATAAGTTAGATAATTTTCTTTTTGTGTTTTTATAATTTGGTTGGGCCGAATTTTGTGGATGGATGTTTTGGTGTCCTGATGCTGGATGTTGTTAGTCATGTTAGTTTGTTTTTGCAGCTTCAGGACCATCTGAATCAGGGGACATTTTTTAAGGTTCACTTCATGGATTTTAAGGGCCTTAAAATGGTAATAGTTGGGGTCACTAATTTGTAGGTGTATCCAAAATGTGATGGCTCTTTTCTCAATGCGCATTAGTAGAGGGTATTGGCCTAATTCTGCCCTGCATGTGTTGTTCGGTGTGTTACTCTGTACTCTGAGAATACTCTTACAGAACTCCACATGCAGGGCATCAATCGGATTTTTGTCCCATTTTTCAAATTCGTGATTTAGGAGAGGACCCCACACTTCACTGCCATATAATGCAATAGGTTCTATGACTGATTGGAATGTTTTGAGCCAGATTCTAATTGGTATTTCAATTTAGATAGATTTTTTGATGGCATAAAAGGCCCTTCTTGCTTTCTCTTTCAGTTCATTCACAGCCAAATTAAGCTTACCAGTTGCACATATTTTTAGCCCGAGGTATGTGTAGTTTGTGGCATTTTCAATGTTGGTCCTACCAAGTTGTGTCTCTTCCCCTGACATCTGGGTCTTTTCTGGAATGTTAGTTCTTTAGTTTTGTTAGGATTAATAGTCAGGGCCCAGGTCTGACAGAACTTGTGCAGGATGTAAAGGTTATGCTGTAGACCCTCTTCTGTTGGAGACAGCAGAACCAGATCATCTGCAAACAGCAAGAACTTTATGTTGGAGTCATGTAGTGTGAGACCAGGTGCTGCTGATTGTTCTAGGAGTTTCGCCAATTCATTAATGTAGATATTGAAGAGGGAGAGATATTTCGATATATTGGATTGGAAGTGCCCTTCAATGTTCCGTCCATTAACTGAAAAAAGGCTAGACTAATCGATTCTTAAGATTTAAGAATCGATATCGTTCCATAAAAATGAGAATCGATTAATATCGAGATTAATATTTTTTACCCAGCCCTAGTATGTGAGCACAGAGAGGCAAACAAATGTAAAAGGCAATATGGCGCGATTACGTCATTCATATGCTAATTAATGTATGACGTAATCTAGCAACATTTAGCAACTT